CTGCCCCCGTGTTATTCTAGCACATCTAAAATACGGTCTATTTAGGGGGCACCTTTTGAACTACATTCGCTGCAAATATGCCGACACCGACCGAGGAGATGCATACGGGATCAGTTAAAGGTACAGAATCAATCGAAGGGAGGTCTATGCTTCCATTTGTAAATTGAGGATGGAAGAGGAGCTGAAGTGGAAACTTTTACGCATGACGCTCTTATCAGCACAGAACCGACTGGTGAACTGACGATTGCAGACAGAAATGTCACACACACACGACAGAAATACTTACCTCGTATAAAAAACCCCGTAGTACATAAAAAGTTGCATGAGGACCCTGCGTGGAAGGATACGAAAAACGTATAGCAGGCCGGAAGTAGTGATCAACTTGGTCAATTTGGAGAGAACCGTCGCCCCCAGATGCAGATGTCCACGTTACCACCGAAAGCGCATAACGAACGCCACAGGTGAACCAGGGTCTCCGGAGTGACAAGCACTGTCCTGCAGAAAGGGCATCTCTGAGGCTATCCCACCTGACGATGCAGACTGACATATCGGCTTCCTACCCTCCGATGGCTTTGGTACGCGGCAAAAAAATGCACCCCGAAGATCGATTAAATCAAGAAAGATACTTGAGTGCTCATCAAAGCAATATTTAAAAACTGCCGGAACTTAAAATTACACGTTTCAAACTGCGCAAGTACGTGCAAGAAGGTTAAGCGAAAGTAAGACGGTAGTGCAAAGAAAAGGTTCACTATCTCTATCACTATCTGTCAAGGCCGGAATCAAAATAATTGTCTTTAAGTCCCATTGACATGCGAACACACAGCCAAGAAAACTGAGCACGAAGTGATAGATACATGACACCTGAATCGAAAATTCCTAGGCGGAAGCGTCAAAATCAAACGCTACGTAACGAAGTTGGCAGCCACAATTCTGGCGCCTTGGACGCAAATTGTTGCCGTTATTTACAATGACATGAGAAAAAGCCGACTGGTCGTTCAACAATAACAAATGTTTACTTTGGTGATCGTTTTCCCATTTTGTATTACCGAGAATCCATCCGAAAAAGAAGCTGAAGCAAATATTTCTACAAGCAGCCGGCTCTGCAACAGACTGAGTTGCGTATTTTCTAGGTGACTCATTTTAGGAGTCATACGTGTGTTAGTTACACGGTGAATGGAGACTCAAAGGACGTACACAATTATCAGAACTTCAAAGGAAGGCAAACTAATACAACTCACCATGACGCAGGCGAATACTCCGTAGCCAATAGCCGCGATTAATGTAAGAAGTATGCCCCTCGCGACGATATAAGCCATGTAAGCCTGCAAGGATACACGCCCCTGAAGAATGCCTTCCTCATTCAGTTTAGTCGCACGGAAGGTGGTTTCATTTGCTACCTCCAATGCGTCTGAGGAGTCCTCTGGAAGAAGCGCGTGGACTGGATGTGATTCCTCAACAGATGCACTGGAAACCTAAAAGCAGTCTCACGTAGACAGATGAAGGTAAAATAGCAAAATGCTGCACTTTGTGGTGTATGTTAACCAGCACAATAGCTTGTGTTAACATTTGTCACAAATGCTGACAACATAGACGGGAAAAACGACATCAATCGCTCCCTTTAAAGTATACAATGCTATCTAAATGAAATAAGTATCAAACATATAGCAATGAAATAGATAATAAGGGGCTGAACTCCTCAATAAGAAAAAAAGCCCAGAGCCATT